GTATGGTAAAGTTCATAAAGGCAGTTTTACCAGTTCATCCTGCATTAATGTAATATAGTTAAACAGAGGTCTCAAATTGGGTTCTCCATTGGCACAACCATCAAAAGTTTTGCTCTGTTGTCGGGAGATTGTGATATTTTCAGAGATAATTGATGAAACCAGAGGTTATCAGTATCACCAATATTGTTGACCAACCAGTATGTCAGCTGGGTTCTAAAAGAGAGTAGGTATTTATCCCTCTCTCTTTGTCTTCCTGCCCTCTTCACTCTGCTGCTAGAGTGTTAACTCATACAAATAGAAGGGAGAATGTTTACACTTACACTTGGATCATTGCACTGGTTTCTTCTAAAACCAATTTTTAAAGTTGCTCTTCAGTTTTTAAAGGAACCCAAGCTGGAAATTTTGACCTTAATATGGTTTTAAACTATTACGTTGTTTGTGAGTTCAGACCATGCCTTCAACATGTGTTGGTAGTATGAGGGAAGACCGATTGAGGGAGGGGGGAGAACTCTGAGAACTTGGGCTGGAGTTCTGGGCAGCTTCTGCCTGCAGCTAGAAGGCCAGATCCCCCCTCATAGCTGTAGTAGGACTGATGCAGGACTGAGGAATGGGGAGGAGATGGGGTGGCGGTGGGGATTGCGAACACGTCGTCACGGGAACGGAAGGTGAGGATGTGAATTTATAGGGCGTTAGATTGAAAGAAGGAGGGGTTTCAGCCATGCTCCTCCCCTCAAACGTCAGTTATAACATAACTACATTGAAAAACACACAGAACATTTTATTAGTCATAAAAATGCTAAATATCCTGTTACTCGTGGGTCGCCGTTTTTGTGATGCTTGTGTCAGAGGAGTGGAGTACATGTTAAGTAGAGCTTCCCTATCGTTTTTGTTGAAACTAACACTTATACATCAGTGCTTCCCCAAAATTTTTAGAGGGCTGCACAACTATGTAAGGGGGAGAAACTTATTTTATGTCAGATGCATTAACCATGCTGCACCACACCACTTGCATCATGCAGCCCTAGGCAAAAGTTTGGGTGCCTGTGGTTATATGACGTTTTGTTGAGTTTCTATGTGAAAATAAGTTCACACATTCTCCACAGGAACACATTGCTGCACATCCTAATGCACAGTTACTGTTTCTGTGCTAAATTTTACATACTGAAAAAGAAAATGTGCAAAAGTAGTGGCTCATTTTGTACTGTATCAAAATCGATAAAAATAAAACATGTAATTTGACTGTAGGTGTTCAAACGTTTGCAGATGACTGTGCATTAATTATAGCCTTCATTCTAGAAACAGCATGCTAGAAGACTAGCTAGAAATGCTACAAAACACAGCAGTACTGTACACTGTATTGTGCACTCCCTAGGCCCAGAATCAAAACAGCACAGGAGCTATATCTCAGAAGCCATAACATTAGCCATAGGCTTGGCTAGCTTGCTAGTTACATAGTATGGTCTCTTTTAAACAGCGAGTAGCTCCGTGCTCAAATGTTCTCAACACAATTTACAACTGTTAACGCATGTTTATACAGAATCCAATGGTCAGGAAAGACACCTGCACATTACATTTACTCCGTCACTGTGAGAAAACAGTGTGGAGCAGTTTTTCATTCATACCGCATCACTCCTGGGTCTAAGTCTCAGTAGTTGAATGAAATTTTCCACTCTGCTTTCCTTTTGCCTGATTTGTTGCCCATGAACTCTAGGTGAGCTGACTGAGATGGAAATGCACATGGCTTCAGATCAGATAAAAATTAAAGAAGGCAGATAAGAAAGGAAGATTCATTCACTTTGAATGCTGCTCCTTTTTAGTTAAAACTTTCCTTTCTCTTCTTTTTACTGGAGAATTTTCATTGTAGTTTCTTTGTTGCTCTTTGACTGAAAATCACACTCAGAAGGCTTCACAGTGTAGCACTGTATTTGATATACAGTGAATTCAGAAAGTATTCAGACCCTTTGGCTTTCTGCACACTTTATTAGATTCCATTTTGAATGGATATAATTGCTATTTTTACCCATAAGTCTACACTTAATGATGAAGTGACATGTTTTAGAGTTTCTACAAATCAATTAAAGATCAAAAACTGAAATCTCTTATAGACAAAAGTATTCAGATGCTTTAATCAGTACTTTGTAGAAGCCCCTTTGGCAGCAAAAACAGCTTCTTGGATACATCTCTACAAGTTTTGCACACCTGGATTTGGGCAGTTTATTCCATTTTTCATGGCAGATCCTCTCAAGCTCTGTCAGATTGGGTGGTAATTGTCTGTGAACTGCCGTCTTCAGGTCTCTTCACAAATGTTTAGTGGGGTTTGGTTGCATTCATCTGTTCTTCAATTCTTACCAGTCTCCCCGTCCCTGCTGCTAGCACCCCTATAGTATGATGCTGCCACCACCATGTTTCACTGTTGGAATGGTATTAGCCAGCCAGGTGATGTGCAGTGCCTGTTTTTCGCCAGGTGTAGTGCTTGCTCTTTTGCCCAAAACGTAAATTTTTTTGTCTCATCAGACCAGAAAATCTTTCTCTTCGTTTCGCCAGAGTCCTCTAGATGCCGTTTAGCAAACTCCATGAGCGCCTGTATCTGTGGCTTTCGTCTTGCCACTCTACCATAAAGGCCTGGTTTATAGAGTGCTGCAGAGAAGATTGTCCATCTAACAGTTCTTCCATCTCTGCACAGCACTTTAGAGTGACCATTGGATTCTTTCTTACCTCCCTGACCAAGGCCCTTCTTGCCCAGATACCCAATTTGGCCAAATGACCAACAATAGGAAGATTCAAGATTGAGTCAGGCACCTTCCGTTTCAAAACTATTGAGGCCGCTGTGGTCTTGGGAACACTCAAAGCCTTAGATATTGTTTTATATCCTTGCCCTAGTTTTTGTCCTGACAATGGATAAAGAAGTGTGCAAAAAAGTCAAGAGGTCCGAGTAGTTTCTTAACACACTTTATTTATTCATTTATTTATTTGCTTGCTTGCTTGCCCCGGCCAAAACATTTTCCCAGCAGTGCAACCATTTGACCGTTTGTTTTGATTGCAGTTAAGTCAAGATTGATACAAATATTAGCTCAAGTAGCTTCTCACATTACTAGCCAGACATGAAAAACATTGGGCGTACGGGCGAATTCTCTTTTATTTTCAAACAGGCACTTGAACAGGCCTCAAGAAATGCCCAGCCCAGCAGTAATCCTACACGTGACACAGGTAGACACTTCTAACCAGTAGTTACACTACAAAGCCCACCTTTCTCAGATACAGTTACTCTAAGCAATACAACTAGACTAATAACAACAATATCAGCAACAACAGCAACAATGAACATCCTTCTTAAGGCTCATTTACGCTCAGTGTTAAATACATATATGGATGGAGTCTTCTGTCCGTACTGTTCGTTTAGTCTGTGTTTGTGCACATTCTGTGGAAGCTTACAGATAAGATTAAGTGACCCTTATTAGGGTCACTTAAACAGGGAAATTTCACCTTCGCAATCTAACCCAGCGTTTCAGTGAAACACAACATACGCAGTAGTGAACACACACCTGGAGCGGTGGGCAGCCCTATCCATGGCACCTGGGGAGCAGTTGGGGGTTAGGTGCCTTGCTCAAGGGCACCTCAGTCATGTACTATCGGCTCTGGGGATCGAACCAGCAACCTCCAGCCCACAACTGACCCCAAAACGGAGCAGTACCACCAGAAGCCGTGGGAGACGATGCCATCTTCTATTATCATATAACTGAAAAGAATTCTCCTTCCTTCATGTCACAAAGTATTTAACGGAGACCACTGCAGTTTACACTGGTGCTTCTTCTCTTTCACCTCTTTCGTAGTTGGTACATTATTACGACCTCCTCCACTCCTTGTTTATTGTTGTCAGAAACTTTTTACTCTGGACTGCCCTCTAGTGGATGTACTGCTTAACATTCATGCCAACAGAAAGGACGCATAGAAGTATGTGGGCAGTGACGGTTACATCGTTTGAAATTGATGTGTTTTTTTCGTACATGAAGGGAGTATAAATGGGCCTTTACCTGGGAGTGTAGCGGCTGCAAGAGCCACTTTGCATGGCTGCAGGATAACAATGTTAAGGCTTTTGTACAAAAAGCTCAGATTTTAGTCTTAATCCTGAAATTAAAGCTTATGTTTAGATGACTCTGAGGTGGATTTCACTCAAATTGTCATGAAAATATTTGAAGGGATTTTTTTGCATATATATATATATATATGTATATATAGGAAGATTCACTCGAAAGAGGCCCCGAATATTCTGTAATAACTCTTGCTAGGACGAAGCAATCTGAACGAAACAACATGCAATGTTCTCCTCAGTATATGGAGCTTTAAACAAGCCGGTACACCCCTGCGTCGGAGTGATGAGGTAGGTGCTGTTGCGATATTTGCTACTTCCGGGTGCATACCCCCATACCCCTTCATGTGTGTGGCAGACAACAGAGATCACTTCCAGCATCGCATGTAATGCAGTCGATTACACATACGTCAAAGTATTTGGCACATTTTTTTTTAGTTCAGATTGCTTCATCCTAACGGGAGTTACAACAAAATATTCGAGGCCTCTTTCGATTGTTTCCCCTGGTGTGTGTGTGTGTATATATATATATATATATATATATATATATAAAACATTAATTGAGCAGGGTGTAAATAGTATACACCTAGATACAAAACTCTTTGATTTAGAATTCTTTGCCTACTAAGATCAATCAGGCACCTTTTACTCATTGTTCATTTTAGTAATTCTTTGTTTTATTTGCACGCTTTTTTTAGGCACAACGTTTCAGGTCCTGCTTTTCTATGCATATAATATACTAAAATAAAAATAATAACAATAATGAGAATTATTATTAGAAATAATAATAGTAATTCTTTCTCTGCTGCTTCTTCTTCTCTTCCTTCTTCATATTATTATTATTATTATTATTATTATTATTATCCTGTATAAAAATACAATTTTTAACCCAAATTAGTCAAATAAGGTCAAATAAATGTATAAAATAATTTTATTTATTACGTAATCCTCCAGATTGAACATACAAAACACCAGTTGGTTTCTACTAAATACATATCATTTTTCACGCAAATCTAGTCTAAGTTGAAATGTAAAATCAAGACAGATTTACAGGCCTTTAATGAAATGAGACTGGGCCAAAAGAAAACTCGATAAACTCATAATAGACCTAAAAATGCTGCATAGGGAAAACATCGAACATACATGTTTGAGAAGGTCCAGGAGTTTTATATTGGTCAGCTCAACCATCTGATTCTCAGTTTTGTTTTCAGTTAATTATCAGCTGTGTTGGTCCATTTATTGATAGGGTGGTACTTGAAGACCAGTTAAAGTAACGGGAATGGTTGCCAGGATGAGTCAGCCTTTCAGATGGGGTTTTGCTGTTTGATTTAGGTTCTGGATGGACCAGGGACATCACTGACATGGACACAGTTTCCAGGTTATGTTTGAGTGGGTTGTATGGTATTGAGATGGGGTGGTTGCCAGGTTGTCTTTCGGGAGCTGGAGATTGTTGCCACATAATCTTCTTTCATGTTCTTTCATATGACTTGCTGGCTGGTTTGGCGCTTTGGCTGCTTCAGGAGGATTTCCATCGAAGAGCAGATAGGATCGCATGGATGAAGTACAGCAGTGTGGCCACGTGAGCCATCACCTGGACATACAGCAGGGAAACATGCAGGTAAATAACATATATGCATATGTGCAGTCAACCCAGACCACTGTGTGAGGTCACTGCATTGCATTTAGCTCATTTTCATCTACTGTAGGTACTTTCCACTTGCATCTTTCTTATCGCTGTTGTCGGAGGAAAACCTTGTATCTCCAAAATTTTAACTTCACAGGAGAAGGAAAAAACCTGCTTTACTTTTAATATAAGTCAATGGAACCAGACTTCTTTCCAAGTTATTTTGGGTCGTTTCTTTTGGTCCATTCATCATGAAATTTACATACAACATAAAGGGTAACAGATATTTTCAAATTATGCCAAAAACTGAAAAACGTCAAAAATGCAGACATGAGGTTTTCTTCTGACAACAGCGATATGTAATGTAGTACAGGATCTGAAATGGAAGTATTTCTCACCACAGCAGAGATGTCCTCTTGATAGATCTTGAGAATAATGCTACTTATGCTGGCACCATTTCCAATGATGATTGTGATGTAAGCCAACACTACTGATGCGCTCAAATAGAAGACCACTGCGATGAAATGATATGCAACGTCCTGGAAGAGAGCAGGAGAAAGAAATGATCTTTCGTATTTCAATGTTCCAGTGCCCCTCAGCATAATCATCTGTAACTGATCTTGTGGACGCTTCACATTTTCTAATATCTACAACTTAATCTGCATGTTATGTTGGATAGAAACTTTTCTTTTTCCACTCTGATTTCCTTTTGACTGACTTAAAGCATTGGTTCTGTTAAAATTCAGATTTACACAATTTATTCTGCACCCCCAAATGAAGTCAGTCAGCCAAAAATTGTAACTGATAACAGTAAGCTTCCATCACTAGCCTTGTAGCTCCAGTGCAAAATTAAAGAAGCAAACTTAGTACTCCAGATGCGTTTTGGCTGATTTAAATTTTGAAAATTGCATTGCATTTTGGCAGAACCTTTACTTTATTAGAACCAGCTTTGTCCTGTCAGATGTAAACATTGACTATTATAAAAGCAAACCTTTTATCCTCAGTCCTACGAAATACCTCTGTAATGTTTTCAAACTTCAGTCTTTAAAGACCCCATCACTGCCAATTTAATCTGTCTCTTAAAAGGATTAGTAACTATTCTGTATGATGAATCAGGTTCATTAAAGACATCCTTAAATGTATACAGAACTGAGGCCATATGTCACTGGAGTTGTAGAGTCCTGTCTTTAAATTTGGTTAAGTTTATTACCAAGCCAGGCCAAATGCTGCTCTGGTTCGCCCCACAGAGGAAAATGAAGAACCATAGGGTGGTGAAGACGAAGCAGAAAACGGACACAAACATCACCCATCCTTGAGGATTTGCAGGGTCCACCTGGGTGGAAGCTACCAGCGTCCAAACCAACCCGCCGAATATCTGTAAGAGTGCAATTAATGTCAAATCAACATGCTGAATACACAAACTTGCTTGCTGAATCCTACAAACAAATGGAAACACAAGATATCAAGACCCAAATATGGAAGCTTCTGGAACTCAAATTTGTAAAGGTAATTTATATAGTTTGCGAAATACAAAATAGTTAAATTTCACATTTGGGGGTCAAATATACACAATTGTTAACCTTCTTAAATACCTCGTAATGTTTTAATTTATACATGTTGAAACCCATTAAGCTTAAACTACGACATAAAGGGCAAGTATTTAAAATTTCTTGTGAAAGTCTCTTTGACAGCCAGCTTTGTCTCAGTGCTTAGCATATACAGTTGCCTCACTGTTTACAATGTAACATGAAACAATGGAAAGAATGACCCTACCCACCTTCACAAATAGTGTGGTGTAGGAAAATTGACTTTTTTATATGTATGATAAAAGAACGACATCATGATCGGCAAAGCTGACGTTTGACAGCGTAAACATCATGATCACATTATGTTCATCCCGCGTTTTGTCATATCAGCTTGCTCACTTCAGTGCTTGAATAGTCAACATGCCTTTATTGAATAAGTTTCATAAAAGCACATGCAAAGTCAAATAATTTTAATCTCATAGATTACAACTTGGACTGCTTTTGTCTATAAATTATTTAACAACAAAGGGCATTTTGAGGTGTTCACTTTGAGTATTTTGGGTTATATATTAGACTGTATAATTATGTTGTCACCTATCAAGTACTAACAAATTTTGAGAAAATGTTTTCTTCAACCCTGCCACCACATCTGAGCTCACTGTCTGCACACTGATCTGTTAGTAATTTAGGACATAATGCTGAGATAAAACAATATTTTTTAATTAGAAGTACTGTTGATTCAGAGAAAAAAACACGTCTGAGCAGAGGAGAGAAAAGGCAGCTATTCACTTAAAAAAGTAGAAACAGAAGAAACAGTTGAAGAAAAAGTAGCAAGGTAAAAACCATTCACACCATTTTAAAAAGTTGCAAAAAATATAAAGTCTGGAAGAAAGACTACATTTACAACTATAGACGTAGCAAACTGTTGAATTAAAAGAATCAGAAGCCAACCCAACTTGTAATTCCAGCAATATCAAGTTTCAAGTAGCACTGTTTAATATTCAAGCACCTGTGAGTAGCTTAAAAAACACCCAAAATGTTTTGTCAATGTGTTTCTATAAAAAATCTTAAAACAATATTCCATATATGAAACAAAACATAAGGGGCAAAGAAATATTGAAGAAAATTGAAACAGTCTCTAAGAATTCCAACTGATGGTTAAGAATTATGTTTAACTTTTAGATACAATACACTTATGATTATCTCTTTAGATAAAAATATAATGATTGTATGTTTGTACAGCCTTAGGTAAAGACAGTGAGGTAAAACCTGCTTACAGGCAGTAAATTTATGAAGGTTTTCAACCATTCATTACAAGCAGGAACACTATGAAGGTTTTCAGTTGTGAAATATTACACAAATATTACACAACTAGTCTGGCAGCACTGATGTAGTATTACTAGACTATTTTCTAACAACTTTTCACTGGTTCTTTTATCAAAATGTTGAGTAAAGTCCCAGTTTAACTATACCTGTATTGAAACAATGCGACAAGTATGGTTTATCTCCAGAAAATATCCTTGTTACACAGCAATGAAAACTGATATATACAGTAGCACTTTTAGATGTAGATCTGTCACTGACTATGGAAACAGATCAAGTTTAGACTTCAGCTGTACTGAAAGTAATGTAGACATATAGAGGTGAACCTTGTAAAGATTTTTGAATCATATTTAGAATTTTGACTAAATTGTTGAGTACTGTAGGGTAAAGCCCTGTTTTAAGAAGCCCTTTTCCTTTTTTAGCCATGCACTCGTCCAGCTCCCCTGTCATCCATGTCCACTCAAGTGTGACGTCCACTTTTTCTCTGATCCAAGCAGTGAGGCCACAAACATTTAATCATTTAATTTGTTGGCCAGTCTCCATGACCCTGATACAGCCTTAACTTATTGGATGTTGTGGATCTTTACTTACGAACTCCGGTATGAAGAGGATATCAGGCATGGTGGTGAACACCTTGCAGCCAGTGGGTAGCCCATTACCAGACACAGAGGAGGCCATAATCCTACAAATAATGCCTGTGTATGTGGGTCTGTGTTTCTCTGTCCTGGTGTTGATGCCAATCAGTGTGACTGCTTGCCCATAAATGAGTGTGCAGGTGAGCTGGGGTGCTTTTTAAAGCAGGTTCCTCTCCTCCTCCACTCCTTCTCTTGTCCCTGTTTCCACCCCTTTTGCCTTTTTTTTTGTTTTCCTCTCATTCACATAACAGTTTCTCTGATTTGTTTGGCTGTGCAAGGAGATGGACTGGTTGGATGAGAACCTTGCTTCATAAAGTGTTAACACAATACTGCTAGTGCGCTGTGGCAGGGTGTGTCTGCGAGTTGAGGGAACCTATCTTCTAAAGTACGGAGGGTATGATGTCAATATTTAACAGACCAGCTCAGAACTTCTCTTACTCTCTTAGTTACAATATTCACTTGACCATCCCATAAAATATGGTAAGGTAATGTATAATCCCAGTGAACCCTTCTGTTTGTGCCTTGTTGACCCCAGCAAGGTTGTGGAAAAAGGAATGAAAGTGTGCCAGGCTACTGAAAAAAAAGAAATCATAATATCTCTAATTGAGTACAACATTTACACACGCCATCCTCTTTTTTAGAACCTTTACCTTGTACTTCCACTCATTGGCCACTTTATCTCCATTTACCTTATAGGTCCACTGTAATTAATAATAAGAAGTTCTATTTGTGTAGCAATTTTCATTTTAGTTACACAATCTCAATGTGCTTTACACAGGATTATAAGCAAAAAACACTACACTCTAAACAAAAATACAAAGGAGAAAACAAGCTGCAATACATCTGAGCTGATATGAACTCGTTTCTCAGCATCCTGTAGGGATGGTCTGTGTCTTATTTTGGTTATGTTTCTCAAGTAATAAATTTAGTCTTAGAGATATTACTGATGTGGGACTCAAATGATAATCCAGCATCCACTGTTACACCAAAATTGTTAATTGTAGCTGTTGGTGATAAACCATTAAGGTCAATGATAAAATGTGCAGCCTTATTTTGATCAAATTTAGGACACAAATCATTTTTGTTGTCCTATGTCCTAAACCTGGTCTTCCATTCTGTGTTACTGTGCCAGTAAATCTGAGTGGGCTTACACATTAAACTGAGTGTCATCAGCATAAAATTGAAAAGCATTGTATTGATGTATTATGTATCCTATGTACTGTAATAAAAGGGAAAACAGTAATATTCCAAAAACAGAGCTGCAAATATAGGGGCCAAGGTTTGGACTCTGAAACTCTCACCTCTTTTTGTCGCAGCAAGGCAGCAGTCAGATTCATTTATTATTATTCCAGAATAATTTATTTTTATTTTGTTTATAGGAAAGACCCACTAAGACCTAAGCCCTTTTTTTAGGGGTGTCCTAGTACAAAATCGAATTTACACAAAATACAATAGAGTGGAAGGTTGAAAGGGTAAAAATAAAATAAAATAAAATGTAATAATAACAAATAAAAGATAAAAAAAAATGTAAATAGATTACAGCAATTAGGTAAAAATATTAAAATATAATAAAATATACAAATATAAATTTTTAACATCCAAGGTTGTCTTAAAACATTGAGTCAATTTTATGTTTAAAAATACTAAATGAGAACTCTGCCAACTGAAGTTTAAAATATTTTGCATTGAAAGCAAGACCTTTTTCCCTAATTCTGAATTCACTCTCAGCACCACAAGGGATAATCTAGAGTGCAAACCTAACATAACCCTCTTCCCTGGCTAACTCTCTTGCTGTATAAGTATTTTATAATTAAAATATACTATGATAAACCAAGTCCAATTTTGTTAAAGTGAGTGAGTAGAATTCATATAAATAATACCCCCATAATCAAAAACAGGTAAACAGGTAAAACAACCTTAATGATCCTTGTCTATTCTCTAATGAAAAACATGATCTATTTCTATACAAAAATACATGTTCTCTTGAATGTTTGCCATATGACAATTTGTTATCCAGCCATATGCTGAGGTATTTATATTCTGAAACATATAAAATTTCTGATCTTGACAGGGTATTAATTTGCATATCTGTGCAAAAGACTATATGGAACCTAGAAAATACCATAAACTTGGTTTTTGAGTCATTAAGAACTAATTTAGGGTTCCATAGTTAATGCTGAATGGTGTTGAAAGCTCTTTGTAGATTTATTACAGCTAAATTTAGAGGAAGTACTACTATAGAGGATTGTTTCATCAGCATATTAGATGTATCTTGCAATCTTCCAACTGTCCAATATTATTTATGTATACAGTAAACGATAAAGTACCTAAAATAGAACCCTGTGTTACTCTTTCAGTCACCTCTAAAAACACACATTTTCTGAACCACTTATTCTTCTGGTTTGCGGGTGACAGCCTATCCCAACTGTCATTGGGTGGACCACAGCAACACATTGAGTTCTATTTGAAAGATAGTTATGAGACAGTTTACATGCTTTTTCATCCAGACCCATATCCAAACAGTTCCTCCAGTAGCAATGAATGATCTACAGTATCACTTTAGAAAGATCAATAAAGAAAGCAGCAGAGCTAAGTCTACAGGCTAATGTCATTAATCTGTCAGTCAACTAATGAAACTGCTATAATAATACTATGTTAGGTCTAAAACCAGACTGCTATGGTTTTAAGACACAGTTGAGAGATAAAAAGGAGCGTAGTTATTCATTTATCAATGATTCAAAAATTGTAGCTAACCATGAAAGCTTTGAAGTTGTTTGATAATTGTTTAAATCACTGGTGTCCCCGCCCTTATGAAATAGAAATACATAGGCAGCTTTCTGAACTTTAGGAATATGCCGTAAGTCTAAGGTTAGATTAAAAATGTGCGTTAAAGGTTTAGCTAAAACGGTTGCAATTAGGCCTAATAATGCCAGTCTGACTCTTCATTCTCCACATGAATGTTGAAATCTCCACAAATTACGTTGTTATCAGTTGATAGATAAAAAGTCTGAGAATTTGTGTAGGAAATCATCATATGGTCTAGGAAATTTATGTACTATGGTGCTGTCACCGAACTTAGGACGTTTGGCCGGTTGGGAGAGCAGAAAGGATCGTGTAGAGGACTCCCAGAATGGCCTTGTTGAATTTAAATTCAGCCCCTTAAATGGCCAGGGCCTACCAGCCGGCGCAAAGATTCATTACACGTACATTACTTTACTGACTTCTAAGCCTGGGATCTTAAGGGGTTTCCATTGATAATGTTGTAGTTTGTTAGTTGTAATATGTGTTACAACTTGGTTGTGTTTTTTCATGTTCTTGTGTAGTGTAACTAGAGGTTGGAAATATCTATCCTCTTTGTCCCGTGGTTGTCTTTTGGTGACTTTCCTGCCTGTTTTCCTGCCGTAGTTCAGTTCCCCTCTGTGCTGTATAAGTAAATAGCATTTTCCTGAGCAGAAAACGGCAGACTCCAAGATGCCTTCTGCACTGATGCTACAAAGTAGTAACAAGTGTGAACAAGTTTTGTGTTTTGACAGTGGTTAAACTAGTAACATTTACAACCAGCATTTCAAAAGACCCAAAGTGATTGTGTGTTTTATCAATGATCCCTATCATTGAAGGTAGCAGCACCCACGCCTGGACTGTGTGCTTGAGGATTATGCTTGTAAGTAAATCTGTAATCACTTCTTCATTTTAAGCCATGTTTCAGTTAAACCGAGAAAACTAAAATATGGTCCATGAACAAATAACGCACAGTCAAAACCTTCTGACTTACCTTTCAGCAAACCCAGATTTAAGTTAATCGTCCTGTTAAGACTCCACAAGTTAAGACTCCAGTACTGTTTTTTCAGGAGATTTGCTAGGTTAGCTCCACAATGCTGATTCACATAAAAGTGCAAAACCTTGTCTCATTTAGTTACCATAGTCAGAATAGGAGAAACTTCTGGAGGAGGACTTAGTGGGTAGGTATCCAGCGTCCAGAGCCCAGGAGGATAGTGACCAAACAAAGCTTTCACATAACTGGCCTTACCATTACCTGAGGGTGAGCGATTTAGAGCACTTTTAAAACCAACATATGTAGCAGGAATAATACACACTCTCGCATAACTTAATTTTAGTTTTAGCTGGAAACACACTTGCTGTTACACAGCTATTCCCATCTAAGATGGTCATTCCGATATACAGCTTTTTATTCGGATCTACAGCTTTTTATGTGATCAGACTGCACCACAAAGTCTCTGAAATTAGGATGAACTGTGTCTCTATTTAAAACTATAGCCCCCTCCCAACCAAGTCAGTGTTGTCTTGAGAAACAACAGTCCTTAAACCAAGAATTTAGCAAAAAAACGCCTATTAAAAGATTCCACCCCCCTGAATTGGCGGGTCAGCGGGTCAGTTAAGTCAGAACTTAAGATGTCATTAATTCCAGTGTGAATAACAACAGAACAAACCTACACACAGTAAAGACAACTGAACGTTAATATCCAGCACACATGCTTCAGGAAAACAGCCAATTAATGTGCTAGTAGTCCTCACCGATCAGGACACCTGTCCACCTTTCTGTGTGTCTGTGATATGCGTCACTTTATGGAAATTCTTTCAAGTAGTTGCCTTTTCTGCCAACTGTTTCTTTCATCAGGTTGCTTGCACTGATATTTTCTACACACATCTCATACTGTGCTCTGCTTCCTCTTACAGAATGTGCATTTTGTTTGCTTTACCAGCATATTTCCTCTTTATTCGTTTACTTTTCTGTATTTGCAATCCTATATTGCTATTTTTTGTAAATATGCTCTCATTCCGAAACTGATGCCTGTAACACATTCCAGAAAAGTAGAGACAAGAGCAGTTTTAGACTAGGTTCATTTTGAAATGTTCAAAAAACATTTTAAACCCCTTTAAGATCAAAGATGGATCAAGGCGCACCACTTTGCCAAAAATGCATCAGCAAACTTTGCAAGAGTTTAAAAATTTTAGTTATTTTATCTTCGACAGCTTATAATCAAAAGATTTAGGGAATCTGGAGGAATCTGTACGTAAAGGGCAAGGCTGAAAACTACAAATAAATGCCCCTGACCTTCAACCCCTGAGATTAAACTGCATTTAAAAAACGGCACGTTTCTGTAGTGGATATCATCACATGGGCTCGGGAATACTTTGGAAAAACTAAGTAAACAAAGTCTGTCTCTGCATCCACTAATGCAGGTTAAGACTGTACTATACACAGTGAATCCATATGACAGAGTCCAGGGGCCGTATTACAGGAAATTCTTATCTTTTTGTATTAAGATCTGACAGG